AGCCAGGGCCTGTCTGTGCTTCAAGTTGCCAGGGGCCGGCAAGTGTTCTGCGCCACCTGCCCGCCGTGTAAGCTGTACAAATTTGCTATATTTGACTTCTCTGAATATAAATTATTTTTGAAAAGGCAAAATAATAATTTTAATGTGAGGCAAAACATGTATGGTGCTCGATAAAGATGACACGCCGACTCACTTCTTCTTCTTTCTTTTTTTGCAAAGTTTGTTTTCATATTAAACCAGTGTCAGTGACGTCATTCTATGCGACTACCACAGTAAAGGAAAAGCCTGGATCTGTACATCTTTTTCTTTTCTTTTTGTTGTCTAAAACACAAAAATCGCGAAACAGTCAGCTCACAAAGTTGCAGGTTGGTGGCAATTTGGCAGAACAGCCAATGACTTAAAACATTTAAGTGCATATATCTTGCCACAAGACATGTGCGCTAAGCTAGCCAAATGAGTTTCTGTTAGCGAATCAAGTTCAAGCTCCTCACATATCATCATCCAGGGTACAGTCATATGCTCATGAGGAGATCCCACGCAGGTAACACTACGGCAGTGCAACAAGTTAAATATGCACACATTTTAAGCTATTTCCTAATATCTAACCATTATGATAAATGTTTGCCTGCAACCGACACAACCAACACAAATGTCATTGAAAAAAACAAAACCCTGTGATCACATGTTTCTGTTTTTCTAGAACAGAAGAAGCACAATTTAAAAAGCCAGTAGTAATAAATCTTTGTTGTTACTGCATGATTCGAATGAAGTACCTGAAGTCTGGCTGGAATAAGAAGTGGTCATCTGTGTACTGTGCTAGTGATCTGCATAATTCACCTCATCTGTTTGGATGGCAGAAGTCGGCTAACTACACAGCTAATTTCATCAGGCTGCTAATGAAACATCTAAAATGATAGATGGTTAACTACACAACGGAAGTAACAGCATTACAATCACTTGATTTAATTACATTTTCCCCCCAAACATTTGATCCAAATTAGCAAAGTACTGCAGCCATCTGAACCTTCTAGGTGTTACATGTTACAGTGTTCCACTCTGGCCAGCTTTGAAAATGGAAAACTCTTTGCGTGGTTTACTCGGTTCTGTAAATAAGGCTCCTTTCATTTGTGAGACTGTATTCCACAGCCAGTTGTCTTCTCTCCCCTTTGGTCCGCCCTTACAAGGTGAAGGTGCTGCCCACCCATGATACCAGCAAGGTGCGTGCAAGTGGATCCGGCCTTAACACCACTGGAGCGCCCACCTCTCTGCCAGTGAAGGTCACCATTGATGCCAAAGATGCAGGTGAGGGACTGCTGGCAGTGCAGATCACTGTGAGTGCATGAACGTGGACCACACAATAATGTATTCAAAGCATTGATATTTAGGTAACAGTTTTTGTTTTCTCCTGAAGGACCCAGAGGGAAGCCCAAGAAGCAGATATCTGTGACAGCCATGATGGACCTACCTGGTGTTTTATGTGCCAGACATGACTGACAGATACACCACTCTCATTAAGTACGGAGGAGACAAGATCCCTTATTCACCCTACTGAATCAGGGCTCTGCCCACCGGAGATGCCAGCAAGTGCACTGTCACTGAATGTTGTCCAGTGGCCAGGTAGGACTCACTTCCTTGGTTGCTTATACACTTTTAGTTTTCTTTGAAAACGGCCCTTTAAGTCACTTGATCCATGACTTGAGCGAGCACTCTCCATTTGTTCATTTGATAGTTATTGTAGAAAAGATAAGAAATGATGCTTTAGTCTTTTTGTAAATTATAGTCAAACATACAATAAACTGAGGTATTCCCTTTGGTTAACAGAGCAATCCGATAATAAAAGTGGACAAAGCACATCGAGTTGCCACAAATATCTTTGTATATTACGCAGTGGGGCAAAAATGAGGTGACCAAATACTTCTTTTCCACCATAATTTGCAAATCAGTTCTTTAAAACTCGGACAAGTTAGAGGTATACCTATGATGAAAATGACAGGCCTCTCTCATATTTTTAAGTGGGAGAACGTGCACAAATGGTGGCTGACTAAATACTTTTTTGCCCCACTGTATTTGATCCTGTCTCCCTCAATACTATTTAATATCTAAATGCTTGATTCATCATATTATAACAAATGTGCTGTTGTAGCTACTGACAGTGAGTTTGATTCCATTTTTTCCATCTACCAAAGAGAAATAATATCTCTTAGTGGCAGGTGGATCACACGTTGATTCTAACACTTTGCATATGACTGGGTAGGATGAGCATTTTATAAGCGCTTGTGTGGTTTTTGTTTATTTAAGGAAATACATCAGTTTCCCTTGTATTTTAAATTTGAGTGAAGATCCTAAATTGGCCCCCACTCTTCACTTTGAGAAAAGGCTAATCTGTCTTATCCCCACATGAGCACAGTCAGATATAATACAGGCTTTCACTCAGGAGCAGGAAGGCTAAAGGCTGTTTAATGTTTGATCTAACTGTGTCAGACATTTGCGTTCTCACGTGCATGGACAATATCTTGAAAACTTCAGAGCTGCAGTGCATGTGTAAAAGTGGTTAGAAAGCAGTGCTTTAACACAGGTTTTGTCTCTTTGCGTAGCTGCTCGGTCCATCCAGACTCCCCTCGATATACAACAGTGATGCCAGCAACTCAAATACAAGCTCTCTCCAAGTGATTCCTTCATCATCAACATCTGCATCCATGATCCATTAGCTCAACAGCAACATCTGTCAGCTGTGCATCCAACTCGGGGGAATCGCCTGCTGTGCTCAGCCAGTGGGCCGCAATTTCTGTGCCTTGTTGATGGCCTCGCTGTATCCTGTGCTGGAGAAAGCTGGTGAGGAGACACTGCTGGTGAGCCAGGCGGCGCTGAGCTCCATGTAGGACATCAGTAAGGCCTGTGGATACACTTCCCTCAAGGAACTGATCAATGAGAACTCTGACTACCTGCTTAATGACATATCACTCAACCTTCAGAGGCTCAGCCAGCATCCACAGGTAGTTATGAGGTGTTTTTGTTTTTAGCCCAAAATGGACACAGAAATGAGTGCTGGAGGGTTTACCCGATTTCCTTCTTTGTCTGCTTAAGCCTGTGCGTCCCTTTCAGTAAGTGATTTGAATCCACCTGACATTCAGAAGGTCGTGGTAGAGCATATCGTACGAAGGCAAGATGTCAAACACATCCAGTCCCAGGTTAGACTCCGTACCTTCTCCGGTAAGGTTCCCAGACCTAACAACAAAACTGATTATGACACGTGGCGCACACAAATTAACCTGCTCCAAAATGACCCCAGCATGTCCCCGCTGCAAATATCCAGAAAGATCCATGAGAGCCTGCTCCCACCAGCAGCTGATATAGTTAAAATGTGTGACTCACAGGTGCTATAGCGTACGGCCACAGCTTCACTCTGAGCTCCATCTCCATAGAGTGCAGACAGTGATATCTGATACTCCTTAAGACACAGGACAACAGTTTATTGAGATATTGTATTTTTTATTTCATAATATGTACTCCAACAACTCAATAGTTCTTCCCCACCTGCCTCAGGTCGCCTCCACTTAGGGAGATCCACTTAATGAGGTAAGAAACATCATCATCATCTGCAGCTTCCCAGCGCACCGTGATGTCACTGTCTGAGAAATTAGTTATCCTAAGGTCTGAAGGAGGAGGCACCTTCACTAGAAGAAAAGAATAATGTGTATGGGAATTTTTTAAAAATGGGAAAGCTACATCTTTATATCTTTCATTATTAATAACATTTACAGTACTGTGCAAAAGTCATGAGCCACACGCTAAAGTATTTCATTGGACATTATCTGTTTTTTCCAATCCTTTTTAATCCAGTTCTTGTACCTGACCATTTTCTGAGTAATGTTTTTCTTTGTTTGTTTGTTTGTGTAAAGACTTGTTTTGTTTGTTTGTGTAAACACTTTGCACTGACCATTATTGGAGAATTAAAAAGCACCTAATTCAAGGAATATGTGTACACATAACAGAAAACTTGGGAAAGAACCAATTTGAAATCTTTGAGCACTTTGTTACTAGCGGCCTGTCACAAAAACACATTTTGTATAATGTTTTTTTTTTATTATCTTGTTAATAAAATGTATACAAATGTGTGTGATTAATCACAATGTGTTAGTGTGTAATCACCCTAAGACATGCATGCCTGTCTGTAAGAGTCAGATCTAAAGCCACTTGTGATTTGGAGATGCAGCCTGCAGATTGTGTCCAGATTATCCCAGCTCTCTTCACTATATATCCAGGCTTCACTTATCAAATGTGTAAAATTCAAGGCTGGTCCTTAAAAGTTGCCAACAATGCAAAAACTGCATAGCCACACAAGTCCCAGCGTTTCCCACCGCAGCAGCTGTGAAACGAAAGAGGAGAAAGGATGAATGAGTGTTTGCTTATGGGCTCTCCGCTCTCCCCCAAGCTGGCGTTGTTCTTGGTAGCCATGACAACGGAGATAGTCCCAGCTTTGTAAATACAGGCCCCAACAGCCCAAAAAAGAAAAGAAAAAAAAAAAGGATTGGGATTCCCTGCGCAGCCCAGGAATCCCCCTAGCAGACTGAAGACACAGATAGGACCTGAACTCAGTGAGTGTGTTCGAGCCGAGGCTCGAGCCAGGGCCTGTCTGTGCTTCAAGTTGCCAGGGGCCGGCAAGTGTTCTGCGCCACCTGCCCGCCGTGTAAGCTGTACAAATTTGCTATATTTGACTTCTCTGAATATAAATGATTTTGAAAAGGCAAATAATAATTTTAATGTGAGGCAAAACATGTATGGTGCTCGATAAAGATGACACGCCGACTCACTTCTTCTTCTTTCTTTTTTTGCAAAGTTTGTTTTCATATTAAACCAGTGTCAGTGACGTCATTCTATGCGACTACCACAGTAAAGGAAAAGCCTGGATCTGTACATCTTTTTCTTTTCTTTTTGTTGTCTAAAACACAAAAATCGCGAAACAGTCAGCTCACAAAGTTGCAGGTTGGTGGCAATTTGGCAGAACAGCCAATGACTTAAAACATTTAAGTGCATATATCTTGCCACAAGACATGTGCGCTAAGCTAGCCAAATGAGTTTCTGTTAGCGAATCAAGTTCAAGCTCCTCACATATCATCATCCAGGGTACAGTCATATGCTCATGAGGAGATCCCACGCAGGTAACACTACGGCAGTGCAACAAGTTAAATATGCACACATTTTAAGCTATTCCTAATATCTAACCATTATGATAAATGTTTGCCTGCAACCGACACAACCAACACAAATGTCATTGAAAAAAACAAAACCCTGTGATCACATGTTTCTGTTTTTCTAGAACAGAAGAAGCACAATTTAAAAAGCCAGTAGTAATAAATCTTTGTTGTTACTGCATGATTCGAATGAAGTACCTGAAGTCTGGCTGGAATAAGAAGTGGTCATCTGTGTACTGTGCTAGTGATCTGCATAATTCACCTCATCTGTTTGGATGGCAGAAGTCGGCTAACTACACAGCTAATTTCATCAGGCTGCTAATGAAACATCTAAAATGATAGATGGTTAACTACACAACGGAAGTAACAGCATTACAATCACTTGATTTAATTACATTTTCCCCCCAAACATTTGATCCAAATTAGCAAAGTACTGCAGCCATCTGAACCTTCTAGGTGTTACATGTTACAGTGTTCCACTCTGGCCAGCTTGAAAATGGAAAACTCTTTGCGTGGTTTACTCGGTTCTGTAAATAAGGCTCCTTTCATTTGTGAGACTGTATTCCACAGCCAGTTGTCTTCTCTCCCCTTTGGTCCGCCCTTACAAGGTGAAGGTGCTGCCCACCCATGATACCAGCAAGGTGCGTGCAAGTGGATCCGGCCTTAACACCACTGGAGCGCCCACCTCTCTGCCAGTGAAGGTCACCATTGATGCCAAAGATGCAGGTGAGGGACTGCTGGCAGTGCAGATCACTGTGAGTGCATGAACGTGGACCACACAATAATGTATTCAAAGCATTGATATTTAGGTAACAGTTTTTGTTTTCTCCTGAAGGACCCAGAGGGGAAGCCCAAGAAGCAGATATCTGTGACAGCCATGATGGGACCTACCTGGTGTTTATGTGCCAGACATGACTGACAGATACACCACTCTCATTAAGTACGGAGGAGACAAGATCCCTTATTCACCCTACTGAATCAGGGCTCTGCCCACCGGAGATGCCAGCAAGTGCACTGTCACTGAATGTTGTCCAGTGGCCAGGTAGGACTCACTTCCTTGGTTGCTTATACACTTTTAGTTTTCTTTGAAAACGGCCCTTTAAGTCACTTGATCCATGACTTGAGCGAGCACTCTCCATTTGTTCATTTGATAGTTATTGTAGAAAAGATAAGAAATGATGCTTTAGTCTTTTTGTAAATTATAGTCAAACATACAATAAACTGAGGTATTCCCTTTGGTTAACAGAGCAATCCGATAATAAAAGTGGACAAAGCACATCGAGTTGCCACAATATCTTTGTATATTACGCAGTGGGCAAAAAATGAGGTGACCAAATACTTCTTTCCACCATAATTTGCAAATCAGTTCTTTAAAACTCGGACAATTAGAGGTATACCTATGATGAAAATGACAGGCCTCTCTCATATTTTTAAGTGGGAGAACGTGCACAAATGGTGGCTGACTAAATACTTTTTTGCCCCACTGTATTTGATCCTGTCTCCTCAATACTATTTAATATCTAAATGCTTGATTCATCATATTATAACAATGTGCTGTTGTAGCTACTGACAGTGAGTTTGATTCCATTTTTCCATCTACCAAAGAGAAATAATATCTCTTAGTGGCAGGTGGATCACACGTTGATTCTAACACTTTGCATATGACTGGGTAGGATGAGCATTTTATAAGCGCTTGTGTGGTTTTGTTTATTTAAGGAAATACATCAGTTTCCCTTGTATTTTAAATTTGAGTGAAGATCCTAAATTGGCCCCCACTCTTCACTTTGAGAAAAGGCTAATCTGTCTTATCCCCACATGAGCACAGTCAGATATAATACAGGCTTTCACTCAGGAGCAGGAAGGCTAAAGGCTGTTTAATGTTTGATCTAACTGTGTCAGACATTTGCGTTCTCACGTGCATGGACAATATCTTGAAAACTTCAGAGCTGCAGTGCATGTGTAAAAGTGGTTAGAAAGCAGTGCTTTAACACAGGTTTTGTCTCTTTGCGTAGCTGCTCGGTCCATCCAGACTCCCCTCGATATACAACAGTGATGCCAGCAACTCAAATACAAGCTCTCTCCAAGTGATTCCTTCATCATCAACATCTGCATCCATGATCCATTAGCTCAACAGCAACATCTGTCAGCTGTGCATCCAACTCGGGGGAATCGCCTGCTGTGCTCAGCCAGTGGGCCGCAATTTCTGTGCCTTGTTGATGGCCTCGCTGTATCCTGTGCTGGAGAAAGCTGGTGAGAGACACTGCTGGTGAGCCAGGCGGCGCTGAGCTCCATGTAGGACATCAGTAAGGCCTGTGGATACACTTCCCTCAAGGAACTGATCAATGAGAACTCTGACTACCTGCTTAATGACATATCACTCAACCTTCAGAGGCTCAGCCAGCATCCACAGGTAGTATGAGGTTTTTGTTTTTAGCCCAAAATGGACACAGAAATGAGTGCTGGAGGGTTTACCCGATTTCCTTCTTTGTCTGCTTAAGCCTGTGCGTCCCTTTCAGTAAGTGATTTGAATCCACCTGACATTCAGAAGGTCGTGGTAGAGCATATCGTACGAAGGCAAGATGTCAAACACATCCAGTCCCAGGTTAGACTCCGTACCTTCTCCGGTAAGGTTCCCAGACCTAACAACAAAACTGATTATGACACGTGGCGCACACAAATTAACCTGCTCCAAAATGACCCCAGCATGTCCCCGCTGCAAATATCCAGAAAGATCCATGAGAGCCTGCTCCCACCAGCAGCTGATATAGTTAAAATGTGTGACTCACAGGTGCTATAGCGTACGGCCACAGCTTCACTCTGAGCTCCATCTCCATAGAGTGCAGACAGTGATATCTGATACTCCTTAAGACCAGGACAACAGTTTATTGAGATATTGTATTTTTTATTTCATAATATGTACTCCAACAACTCAATAGTTCTTCCCCACCTGCCTCAGGTCGCCTCCACTTAGGGAGATCCACTTAATGAGGTAAGAAACATCATCATCATCTGCAGCTTCCCAGCGCACCGTGATGTCACTGTCTGAGAAATTAGTTATCCTAAGGTCTGAAGGAGGAGGCACCTTCACTAGAAGAAAAGAATAATGTGTATGGGAATTTTTTAAAAATGGGAAAGCTACATCTTTATATCTTTCATTATTAATAACATTTACAGTACTGTGCAAAAGTCATGAGCCACACGCTAAAGTATTTCATTGGACATTATCTGTTTTTTCCATCCTTTTTAATCCAGTTCTTGTACCTGACCATTTCTCAGTAATGTTTTTTCTTTGTTGTTTGTTTGTGTAAAGACTTGTTTGTTGTTTGTGTAAACACTTTGCACTGACCATTATGGAGAATTAAAAAGCACCTAATTCAAGGAATATGTGTACACATAACAGAAAACTTGGGAAAGAACCAATTTGAAATCTTTGAGCACTTTGTTACTAGCGGCCTGTCACAAAAACACATTTTGTATAATGTTTTTTTTTTATTATCTTGTTAATAAATGTATACAAATGTGTGTGATTAATCACAATGTGTTAGTGTGTAATCACCCTAAGACATGCATGCCTGTCTGTAAGAGTCAGATCTAAAGCCACTTGTGATTTGGAGATGCAGCCTGCAGATTGTGTCCAGATTATCCCAGCTCTTCACTATATATCCAGGCTTCACTTATCAAATGTGTAAAATTCAAGGCTGGTCCTTAAAAGTTGCCAACAATGCAAAAACTGCATAGCCACACAAGTCCCAGCGTTTCCCACCGCAGCAGCTGTGAAACGAAAGAGGAGAAAGGATGAATGAGTGTTTGCTTATGGGCTCTCCGCTCTCCCCAAGCTGGCGTTGTTCTTGGTAGCCATGACAACGGAATAGTCCCAGCTTTGTAAATACAGGCCCCAACAGCCAAAAAGAAAAGAAAAAAAAAGGATTGGGATTCCCTGCGCAGCCAGGAATCCCCCTAGCAGACTGAAGACACAGATAGACCTGAACTCAGTGAGTGTGTTCGAGCCGAGGCTCGAACCAGGGCCTGTCTGTGCTTCAAGTTGCCAGGGGCCGGCAAGTGTTCTGCGCCACCTGCCCGCCGTGTAAGCTGTACAAATTTGCTATATTTGACTTCTCTGATATAAATGATTTTTGAAAAGGCAAAATAATAATTTAATGTGAGGCAAAACATGTATGGTGCTCGATAAAGATGACACGCCGACTCACTTCTTCTTCTTTCTTTTTTGCAAAGTTTGTTTTCATATTAAACCAGTGTCAGTGACGTCATTCTATGCGACTACCACAGTAAAGGAAAAGCCTGGATCTGTACATCTTTTCTTTTCTTTTTGTTGTCTAAAACACAAAAATCGCGAAACAGTCAGCTCACAAAGTTGCAGGTTGGTGGCAATTTGGCAGAACAGCCAATGACTTAAAACATTTAAGTGCATATATCTTGCCACAAGACATGTGCGCTAAGCTAGCCAAATGAGTTTCTGTTAGCGAATCAAGTTCAAGCTCCTCACATATCATCATCCAGGGTACAGTCATATGCTCATGAGGAGATCCCACGCAGGTAACACTACGGCAGTGCAACAAGTTAAATATGCACACATTTTAAGCTATTCCTAATATCTAACCATTATGATAAATGTTGCCTGCAACCGACACAACCAACACAAATGTCATTGAAAAAAACAAAACCCTGTGATCACATGTTTCTGTTTTCTAGAACAGAAGAAGCACAATTTAAAAAGCCAGTAGTAATAAATCTTTGTGTTACTGCATGATTCGAATGAAGTACCTGAAGTCTGCTGGAATAAGAAGTGGTATCTGTGTACTGTGCTAGTGATCTGCATAATTCACCTCATCTGTTTGGATGGCAGAAGTCGGCTAACTACACAGCTAATTCATCAGGCTGCTAATGAAACATCTAAAATGATAGATGGTAACTACACAACGGAAGTAACAGCATTACAATCACTTGATTAATTACATTTTCCCCCAAACATTTGATCCAAATTAGCAAAGTACTGCAGCCATCTGAACCTTCTAGGTGTTACATGTTACAGTGTTCCACTCTGGCCAGCTTTGAAAATGGAAAACTCTTTGCGTGGTTTACTCGGTTCTGTAAATAAGGCTCCTTTCATTTGTGAGACTGTATTCCACAGCCATTGTCTTCTCTCCCCTTTGGTCCGCCCTTACAAGGTGAAGGTGCTGCCCACCCATGATACCAGCAAGGTGCGTGCAAGTGGATCCGGCCTTAACACCACTGGAGCGCCCACCTCTCTGCCAGTGAAGGTCACCATTGATGCCAAAGATGCAGGTGAGGGACTGCTGGCAGTGCAGATCACTGTGAGTGCATGAACGTGGAGCACACAATAATGTATTCAAAGCATTGATATTTAGGTAACAGTTTTTGTTTTCTCCTGAAGGACCCAGAGGGGAAGCCAAGAAGCAATATCTGTGACAGCCATGATGGGACTACCTGGTGTTTTATGTGCCAGACATGACTGACAGATACACCACTCTCATTAAGTACGGAGGAGACAAGATCCCTTATTCACCCTACTGAATCAGGGCTCTGCCCACCGGAGATGCCAGCAAGTGCACTGTCACTGAATGTTGTCCAGTGCCAGTAGGACTCACTTCCTGGTTGCTTATACACTTTAGTTTTCTTGAAACGGCCCTTTAAGTCACTTGATCCATGACTTGAGCGAGCACTCTCCATTTGTTCATTGATAGTTATTGTAGAAAGATAGAAATGATGCTTAGTCTTTTGTAATTATAGTCAAACATACAATAACGAGGTATTCCCTTTGGTTAACAAGCAATCCGATAATAAAGTGACAAAGCACATCGAGTTGCCACAAATATCTTTGTATATTACGCAGTGGGGCAAAAAATGAGGTGACCAAATAC